TTTGGAGCATAATGTCATTTTAGATATTCAGTTGGTGCATGTAAACCATAAGTTTCTATTACTTGTATTTTTTTTAATTAATAGAGTAATGAGGTGAAAGGAAGTGCAAATATGGAGAAAGAAGGATGTGTCAGAGCAATGGAATTCATAGAGAACCAAGGTTTAGAAGTAGGACTGTTTCTATCTGATCGGCACATACAAATTTCTAAGTGGATGCGTGAGGAAATGCCTGAGACTGTTCACAAATATGACGTGTGGCACATTGCAAGAAGTAGATTTGTAGTGGAATGTACCGTACTATTTTTCATGCATATACATATAGGTTTTCAGAAGAAGGTTGATAAATTGGGAAAGCAAAAAGATTGTGAAAGTGCTCAACAATGGGGACGCAGTATGACTAATCATCTTTACTGGTCTGTCATGTCATCAGAAGATGACAATAGTTTACCAGTGAAAGAAAAATGGCTCTCCTTAATTAATCACTTACATAACAAGCACAAAGGCCATGGTACTATATTTAAAAAATGTCAACATGGTCGTGTAAAGAAAAAAAAGTGGCTTAAGCACAGTTAGTTTTAGACTAAAATATTACTTACACATGTACTTTAACTAGATACTAAAGTTAGTGAAAAGCTTACAGATATTATATCCAATAAAAGGCTTTGCAACGACATCATAATGGCATCTAACACCAATCAAACATCGCTATTAGAAGCTTATCATAGTTTCATAAATCACTTTGCACCAAAACATACAGCATTTTCATTCTGTGGGATGATATCACGGTAAAGTGTTGCTACATTATTGTAAGTGTACAGTATTATATTGTTTAGACTTCGTCTAGCTGCATTGCACTATAATAAAAATAGTGCCAAAGATATAACAAGAACAAAGACTGGACAAGACTGTTACAGCATTTCATTTCCAAAATATAAAAAGGGCCAACACACTGTTCGAAGTATTAAGCAAAAAAGTACTTATGGTAAGTTTAAATTATAGATGTTACTATGCATATAATTATAATAAGGATACATGGAAGAAGTTGCCTTTGAAGTATTTGAACAGACATCTAGACCGCCAGTAGCTTGTCTTACTCAGCCACCACCTTTGGCTAGCCAATTTGTAAGACCAAACAAAAAAGAAGCAGTTGAGAATCACCTTAGCAGATTTAAGAAATTGTCTTAGAAATTATAAGTACTTCATTCATTATTTTAAAGAACATAAAAAATTTAAAAAAAACAAGATGAAGTAGAATTCCGAACGACCAACGAAAATACAAAATGAAAAATCCTAGTCGTGCCGCAAATTCTACTCTACATTGTACTTTTAATGTTATTATGTAAGAATTATGGATCACTTTGCAATGTAGAGTAGAATTTGCGTCACGAGTAGGATTTTCATTTTGTATTTTCGTCGGTCGTTTAGAATCCTACTTCATCTTGTTTTTTTTTAATTTTTTATGTTATTGTTTGTGTTGATTTTTTTATAATATTTACAGTATTTCTTTAGTTGCAATTGTGATACTTGTTGATTTTACACAAACAATAATTTTCTTTATTATTATTATCATTATCATTGTTATAACATTTATGCGAGACAGCATTGAATAGACATGCTGAAGGAATATCAACTATACTGATGACAAGTGAAACTAATACTAGTCTTGACACAAGTCCTTGTTCAAGAATCTGTGAGCTAAGAGTGTCCATCTTCCCTGCTATTGCTGTTCTTCCAGGCTGTTGTCAAGTTCACAATTATCATTGCATATCATAAGTCATAACATTAATTAATTGTTTGTTTTTTTAAATAAAATAAAATAACACAGTTGATAAAACAGTAACATGTAAAATTAATACCTTCTTTTAGCTAGAAACCTCCACTAAAGTATTGCAGTAAGTTGATTCCAAGTTAGTCAGGCGTGGCCTGACCCTTACACGGAGAGGAGGGTCAGGAACACCGTGTATATCAATCTTGTTCTCTGCTGCAAGATTTCTGCAGTGACAGAGTATTACGTCATTTCCTTTTAATTAACTTTATAGCAAACCATTAATTAAACAGTTCAAGTCTTCAAGATGGATCTAGATACTAAGATAGATGATGCTGCTGCATATTTTGGAATAACTTTCAAGGAAGAGCAACGGCAGGCTATTAAATATTTTTTTAGTGGGAAGGATACATTTGTGATTTGCCATCATGAGGG